GTAGTTAACACCTAAAGAAAGCTACGTTATATTTATACCCAAGTAGCTATAGTTATTTTATTTCAATTTACTTTTAAGGTGCACTCATATCTCAACATGACTATTATTTAAAAAAAAAAAATATATATATATATACGTTATCACACACGAAAAAATACATTAAAAAAAAAGTTAAAATAATTTAAGATCAGTATAATGAGTTTTGCTACCATGTTTGAAGAAATGAGCACAACCGAGCGTAGGTCAAAGTACATCGTAGTAGTAGAGTTTGTATGGCTAACACTCTTGAATGTTTATCATAGTCTATATCCAATGCCCACATCTGACAGCAATTCATGAGTGAGGAAGGCTATTATGTAAATATGTATATATATATATCTAAAAAGAAAGAAAAAAAAACAAAAACAAAAGGAAGTTTTTAAGCATGAATGTGACATGAACAAGTTACTCTGGTGCGACAAATCATTTTGATTCTAAAATATTTAAACTTATCAATGAATTTAAATTACTAACTGGTGGATAATGCAATGAATGGCATATTCCTTTGCGTGTGTGTACATATGTGTAAAGAGACACATACATACAGATATACATTTCTTTAAATATAGCTCAGTTAATCTAAATGATAAAAAATTAATAATTATTTAAGTCTAGACATTACAGACACAGAGACAAAAAAATTGGTGTTATCTATAACATTTAATCCACGGATCTCTTAAAAACTAAGAGATAATACTAATAATGTACATTTTTACAAGAGAAAATTATAATCGATAGTTTCAGAAATGAAGTACTGTGCATGTTCCTCCAAGTTGCACACAACATGAATATGACATAGCTATCACTTAAAGAACTATTCAACTTATGTTGCTAAATAATAAAAAAATAATTGGTATGTTATATTTGTGCCTAATTTTGATCAGTTTAAATGTTTTTTATTTAAATTTATATAAGGTATGGACACCATTATACAGTTCAAATAGAAACAGAGTAACATCGCTATGTTTACAATTGACAATGGTAGCAGGTGAAAAAAAAAAGTAACAAAAGAAAATTTACAAACATAAAAAATAATGTGTAAATAATTTTCAGGAACATTGAACCATGTCTGATAATAACCTTGGAAACAAAATTCGAGTTTTCCTAAGCCATATTATTAGTTAGTGTTTGATAAAAACAGGTTTTTAATCGACATTACCTAAAATAGCACAATCATGGATATTAAAGTATAATATACAATATAAAAGATTAAAATGTTTAAAATTTGAGTAAACATAGCGACTTGCACAGTTTAGAAACAAAAGATTAATCCTAGAATATAATTAGAATAAATACACTCATAAATGCATATATATAAATATGCATTTGTGTAAGAAATGAAGAAAAGATAGTAAAATGAAAAATAGTTAATAATTACTAATATATATATAAAAAAAAAAAAAAAAAAAATGATTTTCCACTTAAATCTTTATTTCGAAAATTCAGTCTGTCTAATAAATATAGCTTAGTGCATAATAAAGCTCAAACTCATCAGCAACTCAATAAATGCCTTGATTAATGAGCAAAAATGTAAAAATACAAATTAGGAAAAAACATTTTAATTAATGGAAACATTTTGTCAACAATGAATCAATTATGAGCTTTATAATTTTATACGTAACATTCACTCTAAAAATAAAATAAATTTACAAAATGGGTTTATAATGATAATAGTTACTAATATAATGCACATAGTGGTTGAAATTATTTTACATATCACTAAAGCGAGTCAAAACAATATTATTTTCCCAAACCATGAAGTGTTTACAAACAAAATCGACATACCGACCAATATAACCAATAAGGAGAAAAGGAACCTACACTCTAGTGGAAGCACAGTTGGTGAGGGGGTAGAGTTAGATAAGGAAACCAATAAGTTAACATATAAAAACGTATATCACCAACATTTTGAAAAAGCACATTACAACGGCATTAGGCTAATGTAATTTGTAAATTATATAGATAAATAAAACTGTATATCTATAAATAATACAATATTTTAAAAATAAAATAGTAACTAAGGAGCAATCTATATATTTGTGGGTATTATATATGATAATGTAATTATATATATAGATATATATTAAAGCATAAGAGAGAAAAGCTATAATCTGATTTTACACAACATTAATCCGCAATTTTAAAAAAAGATTAGGTTAACAGGAAATCCACGGTACACCGACATGAATGTAACCATCCTCTTAAACAAACAAACCAAAGGAAACTCTTACAAAAAAAAAAAAAAAAAAAAAAAAAAAAAAAAAAAAAAAAAAAAATTAACACTTTTACAATACAAATAAATATATAAAAAAAAATTGACAATAAAATTTTTATTATATAATCCATTTCGTAACGTGCCTTGTGTTCACCGTAGTCGAAGTCATTTTGCAATATGGCCAGATTATTAACAAGAAAATAACCTTATGAAAAAACTACAACCCACTCTTTTGTGAGCATCAATTTCACAATGGCTCGGTATTATATTACGCACACTCACGATTAGCATTAGAATTATTAACACCTGTTTCCAATTCAGCTCATTAAATATATATATATTATATATATAAATATTTATATTACATAAATATGAATAAATTCCAACAAATTTAAACACGAGACAATCCTTTTTGGAGGAATTGTATATATAACTATTAACACCTAGGTAAACAACTAGCTTTTGCACTCTATACACATTTGTCAAAAATAATTATTATATTTTATTATTATTATTTTTTTTGTTTAATCGAAGATTTATTTACACTTAAGGATGCGTCGCTCTATCAACTGGTAGCATACCAAAGAGCACCGTAGAATGAGGCCGCTTTTCGCACGACTCATGACTGAAAAATTAAAATTTAGCTCTAAATAGGCTTTTATCATAAATTTTTTGTTTTTCAATTTTTCTTTTTTTTTTTTCCTTATTCCTTATTAAATACTATACATAACTTTTTCCTCCAAAAGTACCTTCCAAATATTTCTCAATTCTTCCAAGATCCCTAACAGCTGATAAGTATTTTTACAATAGTTTTTTTTTTTTCCCAGATACATTTGTATATATATTTATATATAAAAGACCAGTGGTCGCCAAAAACTTTTAAATATTAAACAGAGTCGAGTGGGTTGAGGAAGGAGAGGAGGGAAGGGGTTTTCTTAATCACAGTTCCTGGGCACATTCTTTCAGGACTGATGCTAGAGGCACTTCGGTGCCAGAATTCGCAGTTTGGTCAAGTCCCCTTTTCTTTTCATAACTTGTTTTTTTTGGTTTTTCAATTTTTAAAATTTTTTTTTCCGTTTATCTGCAAATTCTGCTATCACCTTACTCTAGGCCAAGTCTCCAGTCTAAGAGAAAAAAAAAGATGAATTAAAATCTTAATTTTAAGAATAATAAATGTTGTATTGCTTAATTTTATTCTCATGATTATTTATTTTACACCATTTGGTTAAAAAAGTGGTAAAATAATATCTCACTGGCAGCAGAAATACATATATGTATATAAGATATCAAAAAGGAAAAGGTTACTTATCAATTTAGTATACTACCAATTGAAGGTCTTGATGCAAGATCCCAGTCTCACAAATTTTAGGTTAGAGCATTATGAAATTAAATAAGATACCAAGTAATTTCACCATTACTTTCCATATAGAACCGTTCTTCTGTAGAAAAACGGATTGAGAAAACAACAATAATCTGTTAGATGACAACCTTACCACTACTACATCACTCATGAGTTACTTTATACAATTAATTTGGTAACGAAAGACACTAAAAAAGGTGCTCAGTATTCTTTGAGGTACTTGTGTCTTAGCCAGTCGCAACGGAATCTATCTTCTTATTACTTGTAATCTCTTTTTACCACTCGTCTCTGCTCAGTTGCTAGTGCTTTCTCATTATCCAATTATTTTGAAATAATCTATATACAGATGATATAGTGTGAAGGTTGTCAAACGGAGTTTGACAAAGAAGACCTAATAGAGATTTTTTCGTAGGCAGCAAAAGTATTTCTATAAGAAAAGGAACGTGGTTAGAGGGGCCAAAAATTACCTTTTTAAGGGTTTTAAAATTTATTCATGGCTGGTCTCAAATTTTAACTACAATTGAGTTGGGAAAAGAGCAGCTAAAACTATTGAACAGATTCATGAAAGAAGTTTGTACCCATAACATATTATACAGGTCAACTCGGTTCAGTAGTTCCCGAGAAAATCTTGGCACAGAAAGACAGACAGAGACCAATGGCTAAAAATGTGTTTTTCGGACGCAGGAGGCTCTGGAATGTATGGATCCGTCAAAAACGCTATATCGGAAATTTGACACAATTGAAATTCTTTCTTTAAATAAGAAGTTAGGTATTATCAGTATCAGAATTATCCTTGTTCAGATTATAAACAATGGTGGATAGCAGTCCGTGGCAACCAGCTAACATACAAGCACCTTCTTTGATTGTAAAAACAAATCAACAAACTGTAAAATTGATATCACAAACTAAAAAAAAATAATTAAATTTACCTTTGTAGTGAACTATAATATATATAATGCTAAACACATCAGAAATGTTTTACAAATATCTGAGACTTGAACAAAAATGATTCTAGTTTGTAGACAGGAATTTACTATTCAAGAAACATATTCACTGATAACTAACTAAATATTGATTTACCAAAGACTAATCTTTAGGAAACCAGGTTTCTCTTAATATATAATCCGAACACTAATATAAACTTATAGTAATATGATTTATGACACCACTCTACCATTACAGGAAAATGAGTTCAAATATTGGTGCTTTAATTATAGATCTCTTATCTCCAAAACTTGTTTACCTGAGCTACGAAAGTTTAGTAATTAAAGCGATGAAATTTAACATACATTAACTAATTCATTTTATTAACACAGACAGAAAGAGAATAAACTACTTTAATTATTTAATATTATTACATTACTAAACTCACCGAAATGGGTTGTGCTATTTGGGCGATCTCTGCCTTGAATTATTAAATTGCCTTGGAAGATTGTCCCTCCTCCTGGGTGCCCCCCTCGCTCCACCTCTCCCCCGACCACCCAAAACACTGTCTCCTGTAAAAATTAAATAATAAAACTAAATTTCTAAATAAAGGGCATGAATAAAACTAATATAAAGAGACAGACAAAGAAACTCTTGTAGTTTTAAAACTTGCAACAATAATTTTTAAATTATTTATACAACAATCATCTAGACAATCTATTGGCATAATTCATTTTTCTGAATATTTTAATGCAAATTCAGTATAAAATTTATTGTTTATTCTTCTTTGAATTGAATATAACAACCGCTGTTAATTCAAGAATCTTAAGACTGGTTATAACAAACATAGGTCGCGATAACCAATAAGTTTTTATAACCATTGCCTACATTAGATTCTACTTGGTCCCTTCAAGTTCTTTGTAAACGATATCTAGTGTTTATACAAAAAAACAAAAAAAAAAACAGACATAATGCTTTCCACAGAAAAGTCTCATCAGAATGATGATATGGTCCTTACAGGACATTAGTCTTCCTTCTTCCTCTATCATCATTTTAAAGAGCCTTCTTTCATCATATTCCATTCTTTAAACAGGTCCAAGTTTTTTTATTTAATCCCTATTTGAGGAGATAATATTTGACGCTGTGTATAAATTTCTCAGCCTCTATGTTGTTTTATTTAATCTCTATTTGAGGAGATAATATTTGATGTTGTGTATAAATTTCTCAGCCTCTGACATCCCGGACTCTCGGAATCTTAATATCTATGTTTGACACTGACATTAAAATTTCAAATCTTTTTTGATGTATTACTGTTCAATACACACAAGTTCTTCGAACACATTAGACATCTAAAGTGTCAACTAACAATTCAAAAACAATAACGATGTGATTAATTGTTATAAAATAAAAACCATATGTACCTTGAAAAGAATGAACAGACCTAAATATTGAAGAAATCTTTAAAAAGAAAAAAGTATTCGAATTGTATTTTTTTAACGAATAATAGATAATGCATATTATTTGTATTCAGCTAGGAGTTTCACTTGGATGATGTTGTAAGTGAAACTCCTAGCTGAACACACCTCCCTGAAGAAGACCAGCAAAGTCGGGTTGAAACGTTGGCTTTAAATAAAATAGTTTTGCTACTATTTAGCCTATTTATGATCGCCAACCCGGACCATCTCCTTCCTTCATATTATTTGTAAATAGCAAATAACAAATAATTGTACAAATAATTATCTATCCAAAGGTTATCAAATAAAAATTTATCTATTATTCGTTATCTAGATAAAATTTCAAATAATTCATTCGAATAACGCCTAACACTGACTGGGTTTTAAAAAAAGGCCATAAAGAAGAAATGAAACATCATAGATTTAATTTTGTTCAAGCCTGGATCTTTTGTGAGATCAGAATAGGCGCCTGGACAAGCTTGACCAGAAAAGCCCAAAACCTCATTTTCCAAAGAAATTGTCCTTACAGGCTTCTGCAGTGTGGCTGTCAATATATTAAATATTTTATTGAAAGCTTCTTGATCAGCAGCAGACAAAACTAAAATTGTTGCTAGGGTGATCGCTAATAAAGGTTATATCAGATATAGGCAGGCACGAATGATGTCATATGGACACAGTACCTGCAAGCTCAGGGTTGGTGATCCCTGCTCTAATATAATATAATATAATACATTATAAGCTGGATATAATTTAGAAAAAATAATAATTCTTAAATTAATTATCCTACTAATAGTAATTTAAGTATTTAACTTTTGATAAACTCACCTTTTGGCTGATAATGAAAAGGGGGCAAACTGTGCTCCTTTTTTTCATCATCTGAGGGATGCTGCTGCTGCGGAGGGGGAGGCGGCTGCGGCATTTGCTGCTGCTGCTGCTGTTCTCGAGCGGCCTGCTTTTCCCTCTCAGCTTTTTGGTGCTGAGCCACTTGAGCATAGCTCAGTTTAACGACATTCAACTCCACCTACAAATGAAATCATAAACTGATGAAACTGAACAACCATCACTTAACTTGAAGGAATAAGCTAGTTATTTAAAGCAAATCAAGTATTTGATAGTAATGCCTCTTTAATGAATAATTATTTGTTGACTACATATACAATAAGGAAAAAGATAAGAGTGTGGTCTGAAAAGTTTCCGACCGCAACGTGAAGATGGCAGCACGTAAATAAAAGCAAGTGAATTTTGTATTTCATCTGTTGACAGTTACCCACCCACCAAAGTTTCAGCCATTTTGAACGCGCACAGTTTTTATGTAACAGTCGTTTGAGTGAGTGTTTTTGTGAAAATGGAGAAAAACCGAGTATCGAGCTGTCATTAAATATTTGTTTTTGAAAGGCAATATGGATACGCAAATCAAAGATGAGTTGGATTCTGTATATGGGGACTTTCCACCATCATTTAACACAGTGAATTTTTGGATAACTGAATTTAAATGTGGCTGTAAGAGCTTGGGAGACAATGAATGATCGGAACAAAAACTGCAAACTACCGACGAAAACATTGCCAAGGTTCACCAATGTCAAAAGAACGTGTTTGTTATATATTAAATCAACATTTAGATAATATAAGAAAGCTGTCCACATGTTGGGTGCAGTGTTTGCTCACGTTAGACCAAAAATGTGTTCGAATGAACACTTTGTTGGCTCAATAAATCCGAGTTTTGGCGCCGATTAATTACAGTAAATGAAACCTGGATACACCATTATACGCTCGAAACAAAATTATAGTCTAAACAGTGGACTACAAAGCAGGAATCAGCTCCAAAAAAAGTAAAAACTGTTTTCTCGGTTTGTCTTTCTGGGAATAGTCATGGACTTATTTTAATCGACTATCGTCAAAAAGATAAACCATTACAGGAGCACACTACACAACATTACTTGACAAGTTGAAGGCAAAACTTGCAGAAAAAGAATATCCTGTTTCAACAAGACAAAGCACCGTCCCCCCACACCTCAGCGGAGCGGTGCCATGACGAAAATCCACGAATTACAGTTTGAACTGCTTGACCATCTGCCTTACTCATCAGATCTAACCCCCAAGTGACTTCTTTTTGTTCCCTCATCTAAAGTGACTTCTTTTTGTTCCCTCAACATTGCGCTCGGAGGACAGAGGTGTTCGTCAAATGAAGAGGCTATCACCTTCGTGAGCAATTATTTTATAGAGAAAAATGCTGAGTACTTTTTGGACGGGTTACAGAGATTGGAGCATCACTGGGAGAAGTGTGTAGAGTTAGAAGGAGACTATGATGAAAAAAAAAAAAAGTCTTGTATTTTTGTTAGGTCGGAAACTTCTCAGACCACCCTCGTAGTCTGGATGACAGTAAAGAAAAGAAACTCCAAGTAAAATTCCAACTTTTGGATCCAATTTGCAGAAGTATTGATCAGGGCTTGGCATCAACTGAATAGAAGTGAGGATGCCTTACTCAAGTTTGAGAACTAAATTATCTGCAATAATAGAATTTAAAAAGTTAAGTGGACCCTGCATGATAAGTCATGAATGACAGTCAAATGACAATGATTGCTTCGATCATGATGAGTCTTACTCGTATCAATCCTACTGACACATTTTAGCTCAGTTGATGTTGAGATAACAAGCTGTATGGATCTAGTGCTTTGTCCATTTGTAATACTGCCTTTCATTAAAAAGGCTTATTTAGCCATTATCCTATAAGCATTGGACATAAAGAGAAAATTGGAGATATAATAATTACTTCCTGGTGCCTGAAAATTGTTTTGACAAAAGTTCATAACATCTAAGTCTAATACTTACAAAAATTAAGTATTACGAAAATAATAAATTTGTTGAGAATAATGGAAAAAGAATTGACAAATAAATATAACAGTTACAGATTAACTATTTTCTATAGGTAAATTGTGAAGTTTACACATTTTGTTTTAATTTGCCCATTTGGCTATTTTAAAAAAAAATAGTTGAAGATGGTTAGTAAAAATATAAACAAGGGATATACAAACTATTTACTTTTAATGAAAATCAGGAATTTACAATGGATGTAGGGCCTATATAAGCTAACCTTTTAAGAAGTAAAGTTAGTCTCCACTCCAATTCGCATGATTGAACCTTTGATTTCAGGATTTTCAGAAATTATAAAGAGATTTTCTGCCAATCATGTCCATCGGTATCATACACGATCAATCAGAACATCAAAAGTGCGTTGGAATGCAATTCCGAATGAACGTGTAGGGTCCGAGTTGTACTTGGACTAAAGTCTAACAATGTTCCAAAATAAGGTATCAATACTATCACATCATCCTTCCCCCCCTAAACTAAATGGAAAGTCGGCGGCTATCTAATAGAGAACCCTTGTTAGAATTAATGTCCTTCATGCAAGAGAAAAATATCTTCAATTATGTTTCGTTTTACCGTTCGTATGTTAGGCAGTAGTGCTTTGGCTCGAAACACCACAATCTATTAACTAATTTTATCAAGAACTTTTAGGAAATCAGGAATGGATTATTTGAGATATCTTGAATAATGAAATATAAAAGGTATTAGACAATTAATTTATAACATTGACAATGATCAAACAATTAATACTATAAAGGATTACCTTCCAAGTATACTTGTTTTTTATAATTCTGAGCAACCTTAAGAAATTTTAATATAAAATATGGAATTAGGTCAAACACAATTCTAAACTGTACGGCCATTTAAATTCTATAGCAGACTTGTGTTACTTTAGGGATTATCAAATATTTTATGGAACACTTTTTAAAAACCTAATGTCATTGTTTTTACTATTAACTGGAGTATAACAATCTTGCAACTTTATATTTTCATGTTTCTGTGGAAAGTGGTTGCCAACTGAATAATTTTGTGGCAGAATAAAACAAGTATTCTGATGTAGATCTTTATATACTCCAAAAACTCTCTACATACTTCCATTATATATTCTTCCATTTTCAAGGAACACTAATCATGGTGGGGTTCACAACATTATCTTGTTTTGACCAATTTATTTTGAAATAGTTTGAATTTATTAATATGGTATTCAATTTGATGGTTCCAGCATTGGTGAATACCTAACAATATAAAGATAGGACACATGGAGATAGAACACACTGAAATTTTGCTGATTACAGTATGAGGCTAGTCAAGTTGGCACAAAAAAAGTGGTCCACCTTCTTTTTCATATTGTTAATTATATAGTAAATATAAAAAATCCAAGTTTCCACCCTTAAAAGCCTTGTGGGTTCATTCACTGCAGTGCTTCAAAAACCATTAAAATTTCGAACTTTTTTTTGGTTTACGTTAAATATCTCCTTTTTTAAAGCAAGATAGATAAAAATGGTTATATTTATTCTTTAACAGAGCTTTAAATTATTTAATTCAAATATGCTGAATCTCAGTGACCGAAAAACTAACTTGTCTAAGACGCCAATCCACAACGTTTAGGACAATCCAGCCACTTTTATCTGTGGGAACATTGGCCCTTTTTTTAAAAAAGTAGTTACAAGGAACACAACTATATGCAATTCATTGGGATGTAGGGGGAAGATACACGGTAGGAGGGAGGAAAGAGTCTGGCCCATCGTGTAACATCTTTTCAAAACACCTCCAAATTCTTTGGATGAGGTTCAAAATGAAGTTACAGAATTGTTCTGTTCAAAACTGATAGATTACTATTGTGAAGAAATGGAAGTGAGTAAATTTTGAGTGCTCGATAGTTTGCTATTAAGATAATTTTAATGAATTATTGAAGGAAGTTAATTGATTGTTCTACATATTATGGACAGTAATTTTTAAGGCTTTTATTGATGCTGATGTTTTAGCCCAAGCATGTACGCACTATGAACCCATCATCAGAGCATGTTTCGAGCACTGAAGGTGTTCAAGTATTGGAGGTATTACAGTATAAACAATACTATACTGGTATTACAGTATTTCAACACCTTCAGTACTCGAAACATACCCTCATGATGATCCACATAATTGGATTGAAACGTCAGAATAATAAAAACCTTAAAAATGATTCTGTACTGATTATTTATCATCCTTGATAATTTTAAGCTGTTAAAGATTGAATTTAATCATTTTTTTATCATGTCGCTTTAAAAATGAGATATTTGGAGTAAACCAATTTTTTTTTTGAAATTTCAATGATTATTGAAGTACTGCAGCAAATCCACAAGGTTTTCAATGGCGGAAACTTTGATTTTTTCAAAGTCACTCCATACCTAATAAAAAGAAATTTGAACTACCCAACCTTTAGCAAGGTCACGTGTCTAATTTAAGAAGGCTATAAACGTTATCTTTTTAATGAAATGACTCAAAATTAATTTACTTGTCTTCTGGAGAAATTTTTATAAATTAATATATACATTAGAAATTAATAATAAAAATATTCAAATAAACAATATTATAAGTAGATACCTGCTGAGTAGGTTGCTGTGTTGGTACATGAGTGTCTACTACTGTCGGTTGAACAACGGGAGTAACAACCTTAGGCTCATGCGGAGGTTGATCGCAGGGTGCACTGTCCCCATTCACTGAGCCGTTACTACCAACGTTACTTTCTTCAGTCTTAACGGGGCCTGCCTTTTCAGCAGGGTTTTTCCCACTTGGTCCAGCAACAACCACCCTGTTAAAAAAATATATTCATATAAACCTTCAACTGATTGGAAGTTTACTTCTGACTCAATTTATTTCATAAAAAATATTTAAGTTATTTTTCTAACCTTTGAATAATCAATAAAGATAAGGAATTTAAGAGGATTTACTTTTAGTTTTTCTACTATTTGATAAGGTAAAATCTTATTGGTCAGATTTCTAAGGGTTTGAAAAAAAAATAAATTTATAATTCAAACAAGATTACATCAATCACAATAGTTTTTGTAGATTGGCATATTTGTAAACCAGTGACAGTTTCTAATTTTATTTTAAATTTAACTTTATTTCTAGAGAAACTTTCGGCGTCCTGCACCACATTTATCTCTATAATATATCACATTTCAATCGATAATAATTTTAACTATTAACAAACAGTACTCATATTACGAACTTTTTTAAAAAAAAAAATTATTATATTTGTCATGATGTAGAGATGGTTGACCGTTGATATAATATGAGAAGGAGTTAGTCGAGGGTGTGGTCAAATAAATAAAAAGAATTAAAATATATTAATTATTTTCTGTCATCACCACATATGCTGATGACACATGTATCCTATCAGTCAATAACGACCCATCTATTGCATCCCAAACCCTTCAATCCCACATCACAAACCTTGAAGAATGGTGTCAGAAATGGAGAATTAAAATAAATTCCAATAAATCCCATCAAATTACCTTCACCCTTCGTCGTAAATCAATGACTTCCTGTCCTTCAGTATCCTTTAACAACACCTCACTTATTCCTGTTGAACAAATCCGTTACCTAGGACTCCATCTGGACAAACGTCTAACTTGGAATCCTCATACCAGACTGAAACGACAAGAAACCGCTCGACGTTTTCGACTACTTCAACACTTACTAGACAAATGCTCTAACCTTCCAATCAATTATAAAAGACTGATTTACATGACTATAATAAGGCCTATTTGGACTTACGGGGTTGAGCTATGGGGCTCCACCAAGCCTTCAAATTCCTCTCGCATACAGTCCTTGCAATCCAAAATCCTTCGTAAAATCCTCAATGCTTCTTACTTTGTTACAAATAAAATTATCCATAATAACCTTAATGTTCCTTATGTATCAGATTTGGCCCAATCCAGATATCTGTCCTTCCCTAATAAACTTCATAACCATCCCAACCCTCTTGTCTCTAACCTTGCTTCCTATTCGATTCCTGATAACCCTCCGAGGCGTCTGAAAAGAAGATGGCCACGTGATCTTCTAATATAGACATATTATTAGAGTGCTACCAATGGGTAGTTTCTCAACATGTGTTCCATGTCTTTATACCAATGTGCAAATTTACTAGATGTATTTTTTTTGTATACAGTTGTAAATATCATTTAAAATAAATAAAATAAAAATATTAATTATTTTAATATAAATAATATATATTAAAATAATTAATATATTTTAATTCTTTTTATTTATTAGACCGCACCCTCGACTAACTCCTTCTCATATTATATTTGTCATGCAATTATTTTCGTTCACACGGCGTAACTTATTCTCTTATTTAACTATTTAAAACCATAGTAGATTGGAACAGAGTTTGTTCTTCGTCTTAATTTTGTCTAAATAAAAATTATTTGTCAGTCAATCAAATTGAAATGAAATAAATTTTATTTACCAACTTTTTTTAGAGAAGAGGACTCTCCTCACTGTCTGACACAATTTCACTGAATGCTGAACCATTACTGTCAGCACCATCTATATTGCACACCAATATAACAACTAAAAATTACCCAAGTTTCTAGTTTTTTCTCCTCTTATTTTAAAAAAAAAATGAAGTTTCTAGTTTTTTCTTCTTATTTAAAAAAAAAATATTTTTATGGTTTACTATTATTTGTAAGTATTTGATCCTTGAATGTTCGTTTGTTAAGATTCATAGAAAGAGATATCTCGATAAATATATCAATACGGACATGGATGACTTATCGTTGGAGAGAGTTTTAGATATTAAAAGTCTTTAACACTTGAACAATGTGTTTTAGTTTATTGTTTGTATTTTTGACTCCAGTAGTTTATTTAATAACCTGTAAAACTTTAAAACTATTGATTATTCGAGTATAAGTATATCATGTAAATATAGCACATATTTTCTTACCCGTTAAAATGGCAACAAATACTTCGCATAATTGCGCTCTAAAGAAGTATATTCAAGTTTATGTATCAATGTTTCTTATAAAATTTGTAATTTTTTTTTTTTTTTTTGGTTTTAATTAAGTTTATTTTGTTGGTGAATCTACAGTAAAATTTGGTTTATATTGATCTGAACAATTTCATTTGTTTTATATTAATGTATTTATCCTTTTTCCTTCTTATTTTGTCCTCATGTATTATATCATGTTTTATATTGTACCTGTTATTTAGGAACTAATTACAACTAGCATTGATTGGGCCAGACTCTATGGCTACACTGTTTATAAGCCAATAAATAATAGAAAAAAAAAAAAAAGATTATTTGCGAGTAATGTTGTAGTTTATGAGCCGCTTCCTGCTTTCAATTTAGCACCTTATTTTTGTTTATTGCGATATATATATATATATATATTTTAAAGTTTTTAGTGTTGATCGGGAGTTAGATTTGTGGAGTATTTTAATATTATTAAAATCTATTTCATGTCTATGAATTTTTGTGTAGTTAGATAAGGCAGAGATTGTTTTTGAAATGGGTTTTAAGTTACTTTTGTGATTATATACTCGAGTTTTTATATCCGTTAATGTCATACCAACTCATTTGACCGCACCCCCCGAAATCAACTCCTTCTCATATTATATCAACGGCCAACCATCTCTACATCATTATAATATTTTAATCATTCATTCATTAACAATATATAAGTAATTTTTTTCTTAAAGAAGTCAAGTGACCACAATAAGAAAACAAATTATGATTTATTGTTCTATATAATATGCATAGAATTAACTGATACCAGCTATCTACTAAAATATATAAGTTGAGCCAATACCTCGTCTCGGAGGGTGCCACCCACTGGGTTTCAACGGCGGCTACGGTCGCTGCAGCTGGTGACTGGTGGGTCGTAGTTTGGGGGGCAGGTTGCTCAGGCGGAGCGCCGACCTGGCCTCCTGGCAGCGGGGGGAAAGCATCTGCCTCGAGGTCGAACTGCGGGCCTGGGCTTCCGGGTGCTCTGCTGCTGGCTTCATCTTCTTTTCTTCTCCGTCTATTTTCACACATAATCTTTCTTATTCAAACAATAAATTATTAAAATAAAATTATACACCTATTCAACTCAGAACTATGTACAAAAAAAGTAGTTATTTCTAAAAAAAAAAATTAATAAAAATAAAAGTCGATAGCCAAACAAAACAAATGAGAAAAAAAAAACAAAAAAAAAAAAAAAAACGGACAACCTCCTACGAAATGAGTAAAGGAAATCAAGTAAATAAGCATCTGAATTAACATAATTTATTTTTTTACCTTATGTGAAAGCTGGAATCAGAGTAATATTGTGAATTAATATCTGTAATGAACTACTACTATCTTTAAAAATATTATGAAAATCACATAATAAAGATTATAATAGTTGTGAATTTTTTTAAAAAGTATTTACGAAGAAAAAACATCTGAAACTAAATGTAAAATTGACATCTTCATAAATTAAATTGAAGGAGAGTCCATGAATGCTCAATAACTATTCAAGTATTGTACTATACCGATATTGTTTACCGTCTACTATTTACTTAGTTTTGCATATAAAAACTTGAATTCATTCATTCAGTTCAAGTGTAAAAGTTCAAGTGTAAATAATTAATATATTTTAGTTCAAGTGTAAATAATTAATATATTTTATTAAAAGATTGGAAATAGCTGAAATAATCTGAGATAAGATTTGGAGGGGAAATTCATATAAAATAACATAAAATGTTGTGCTCCTTCAGAATTAATATACAAGCAAAATTGTAATAATACACTGACTATTATGAATTTAAGGTTGATTTAACTAACTGGAACGGCTTAGTATGAACGGGACAATGATCTATTGATTCCTAAAGCATACAAACCCCCCTTTCTTTCTAAAGTAGCAACCTAACTGTTCAATCAGTAGTGAGAAAATGTGACTTTGAAAGAGAGTGCTAACCATATTATAAACATTGTCAGGATTCTTAGTCTCAGTATGAGCAATGTATTACTTGAAAAGCTAAGACTATTAAGTAGAGAAATGTGTTATTCCCTGCACTCCTCTGTCACATTTCTTTTAAGCGACAGAGAAAAATTTAAAATAAATAAATAGACTTAGTCTAATAAAAAAGATTTAATAGCCGCCGACACAAGCCATTCAGGTAACCGTCAGATGGAATGGCAATTGATAGAACTGAAATCAAAGCCTTTATTTATTGGGCTGTTATATGTTGGCAGAAATGTATGAAGGCGGGAAAAAAAATCTGGATGATTTGTGGGACTCAAGTAGCACAATTGACACCATGTTTGAAATCAAAATATTTCGTCCCACAATGAGTGAACAAAGGTTTTGATTTTTTACGTTGATCCGTAAGACTGAGAAACACATCAACAACGTTAAGAAATAGACCGACTGGCACCTGTTCAGGACATATTTGGAGCAGACATGACTATCAATGAGAAATTGGAGACCTTCAGAGGCTGATGTTTGTATTAATTATTTTTGTATTAAATTTAATCTTACTATGATTGTTCCTGGTATTTAGTGATTTTTATGTTCGCATTTAATGATATACAGAATTTAATATTTAAGTTTCTAATTTGGTCAAAGTATTTTGTTTAAATTTTTTTAAAAATTATGAGACTGTGTTTTACCCAATAAATATATTTAATAACTCATCTTATATCTTTTTCTTTTAATACAATGAGAACTTTGTTGGTATTTTTGATCAATAAATTGATTTAGTGAAGTAAATCTCACAGATCCTAGTGACGTGCGACCTTTCATGTATAAGGCTAGCGAGTGACCTTAGGAGTGTAAATGGATGTTCAAGTTAGATACAACAGTGGGAACCAGACCGTGGAAGGAGCAGGTCTAGAAGACCTACATTATAGCAAGAAAATTGAACAAGGAGAAGGGAGGTGGTCATTCCCCTCCCCTACAGCTAGAAACGATCAATGAGAAAAAACTTGGAAAAAGAAGTCTGAAAAGGAGGCCGTGGAAGAGACAGTCGGTGGTACTCAGCAGTCAAGATGATATAGTTCTTTGGAGATGGTGGTCGAAAGAGGAAGGCAGCTGTACACATGGTAGAAGCTCCTAGCAGTTAGGAAGAGATCTAAAGATGAAGAGACACCAAATAAGGAAAAAATTCAAATGTCAAGAATTTTATCGTTGGACTCACATGAATCCAATGAACTTTCTAATATAAAGACAAAGCGATAGATACTAATTGAAAATACATGGGTTAGGGGAAGGCACCATAGAGGCTTTAGTGTAGAACTTAACATTTATCTAATATTTGCCCTAACAACAATTTTTTTTTTGAATAGTACCCTTTTCATTCTGGATGTGCCGATAGGTTGTAAAAAGTCTAATCCTTAACAGAAGAATTTTAAATAACAACAGAGATCATTGTCTAACTAAAAAAAAAAATGATGTGCACGAAACTTATACAGACAGGCTGCAACAAAAATGGGAAGAGAGCCTTCCCTCTGTATAATTTGGAGGCAGCTTCTTTGTGAAGTACTTTGAAATTTGTTATAAATTCTTCCAAAAGTCTGCCCTAATTCGAAAATCGATCGTAAAAAAAAAATTATATAAAGGGAATGGATAATATTTTTCTTCCTAAACTAGCGTATATTACTAAAAGTGAAAGCTCACTCCTTAGGATGTTTATCTATTCCACTAGTTCAAACAACATAAAATTTCTATTTAACTCTTAATATCATAAAAATATGGTATTATGTTAGAAAACAAAAATAATTATTCCAAATTCCTCCTACTTCTAAACAAGTTTTTGATGCAGAATCGACATTTTTCTATTTTAATCTGTCACCACAGTACCAGAGGATGAATACTGCACTGAAGAGGTCAATGGGGAAAAACACTGTCGCATCAAAATGATTGCTCTTTCTGTATAAGTTCGAGAGTTTACAAAAAGAATATCGGCAATATTAGAAAAAATATGAATGCCTGTTAGCACAGATAGTAGGGACTTGACTGCACTATGTATTATGTTAATGAGATGGATATTGATTAACCACATTTCAATAGTTGGTTTATAACAAAACTAAATAAACTGAACTGATCTACTTAAAATTTAAATGTTAAAAATTCTTGTATAATGAACAATAAAACCACATAAATGCATAATTGAATTAAAACAAATATAACTACCTCGGCGGTAGTGCTTGGTCCTTTGAGTGCGGTGTCCGACAAGAATCATCTTCATGGCGCTGGGTCTCCTGGCCTTCAAATCGTCCTGTCTCTTTCGCAGGCTTTCTGAGGATGCCGGAGTCGGACATTGATGTCCGAGCTTCTAAGCCACCGCCCTTTTTCTGCCTACTGAATAATAAAACAAGCTTCAGTTGATGTGTAAGCTAAAGTGACACATACATTAAATTCAAAATAAAATAAACAAAAAACAATGTTATAAATTAAACGGATTAGTTTTCATTTAAGTGCTTTTTCCCCATTAAATGAAGGTTTGATGTAGGAAAATACGAGTCACATCATGGAAATTATATTAACAATTACTGATAGCTTGGTTCAGATGGTAGCGAAAATACAATAAAAACACGACCAGCCATGATACTCTTATTTTTAAACTACTTGTTACATTAAATAAGAGCTAAGAATGAAAATTAAGGTTACATAAAGCCAAAACAGAAGAATGGCAGACATTAATGGTACTTGGAACTAAAATATTATCTAGTTAGGAAAGTTTAAGCAAAAACAATAAGGAAGAGAGGAAGTTATCAATTAAGTGCGTAGAATTAACAACTTTAATTGAAAACCAACCGAAAAAAAAATCTGGTGCGCGCAACAACACAACTTTCACTTACCGCTCTATTTTAAATAGAAATTATTTTATAGCAATGTTGTGCTGTTATAAAATTGCATTTTAAGCGGAGCTAAAGCTTAAAGCTTAGAGATAACAAATCATTAAGGCCATTAAGAATACAAAAAATCTATTTATTACATCGTCGGTAGGCAATAAAAATCTAGTTACTCTGCTTTTATAAACCACACAACTTCGATCTCTGAGCTCTTCAAGACACCTCTATAATCTATACAGTTCCGCTGAGCGGGTCAGTATCTCCAAGAGAGTACACAGCGAGCAGGACTTGACGAAACGAGGCATTTGTCAAGTTGAAAGATTTCCCCTTAGTTACAAAATGACTGCTTGCAACTGTTGCGTGACAGGTTACACCTTCCTGCGCTTATCTCAATAGTCCTTACACGGCACTTTATCGCCCCTCAATCGTAACCTAATACTCCTGTTTACATCCTTAATTGGATTATATTACTCGACTAGTGTAAATTAATAATCTTGTCAATTATCACAGCTATTTACTGTTGTAAAAATGAAGTTTATTTTTCAGATTTATTTATAAACTAGTTGCTCCATGCGAATAATTCGCATAGAATATAGGTCTGTGAACAACTATATATAATAAAAAAATCTGGTGCGCGCAACACACAACTTTCAGTTATCGCTCTACTTGAATATGAATTATTTTTTCTGGCAAAGTTGGCCTATTATGAAAATATTTGAAGTGCATTTTTAACCGAGCTAAAGCTTAAATCTTACAGTTAACAAATCATTAATACCATTGAAATAACAAAAATTTATTATATCAATGGTTGATTATGGATTGTGCAACTATTAGTTATTAAACTATTACTTTCCATTCTAAATTTAACTAAAATGGAATTACGAGATTTGCATTCCCAGTAATATATAGGTCAAAATTTGACTTTTATAAACCACAAAACTTCGATCTCTGAGCTCTTCAGTAGACAGAATGACTTACTACGATTTCAACATTTTTGAGTAATGTCATTTAAGTGATATTTTTAGTTGAAAAAGTTATCTATGCAGACAGTGAGCAAGTTGATTGCAGAGTAGGTGATTGTAGTGTTGATATATAGAACTGTGAATAAAGGTATAAATTTTGCCACTAAAATTAATAATAAAAAATATTGAAATCGGAATTAGTCACTCTGTCAACCAAAAGCCTAATCGATTAGTTATTTAAGGACTGTTAGTTATTTAACTGTTATTTTCCATTGTAAAGTTTACTGAAATGGTATTACCAGATTTTCATTGCCTCCCATGGTTAGGTCAAAAGTTGTCACACTAACTGAAAGTAGATAATATTGGGATTTCACGAAAGAAAAATCCATCAAATTATTTACGAATTTAATTTTCTAAAAGGTTACACGATAATTTTTCGGAATTAACGGACGATAAATACCTTATTATTTAAAAATAATATCAGATCTAGAGTTATTAAACTACAGTAAATATATTTCAGGTTATATACATATGCATGAAATATTTTTATATTTCACTACTTCTTTCAAACTAGCACAATAAAGTAGTTTTTTAACAATGTCATTGCTTTGATTTCGTGCATTTCCAATACTTTTTTCAAACTTTAAAAGTTTACATTTAGCCAGTAAATTTCCTTAAAAACATGTGATTTCCGTTAAATAATATTAATTTTCAAAAATTATTAATTATAGTTTTACGTCACACTCCATTACTTTCTACGACTTTCTTTATTAGAAATCGTTTTTTCTAAGATCCTCCGCTTTCCAACGATATATTATACATATACCTCTGACTAGTATTTCCGGAGATTCATTTTCGACCTGGATAAGCATTGACCTCCATTCAATTATCGAATTGTTTCAAAAGTTATATTTAGCCTTTTTTCATAACTTATAAAAATGAGAAACAGTTAATTATTTAAAATAAACCAAATTAAAGGGACTTTAGAGGAAGAAATGTTGAACATAGGTCATTTAAGCCTTGTAAAGTGACATAAATGGGGATGAAATCTAAATATGATATTAAAGACCACTTAATTATACAATCATAAACTGAGTTAAATCAAAATCATTAAGATTCATTTTTTAGAAAATTGTAAAAATGTGTATCACTGTTGATATAAAGTGGCATTCCCAGTTAGATGGCGATTAATAAAGACATATGATACACTTTTATTATTTATGAAAAAGAAATTATCAAAATAATACAAACCTGCAATTAGTAACTAATTGAATTCGAGTTTTAATTTTAATGCAATTATGATAAATAACTGTTGTTAGCAACCGAGGAAAAATATAAAAAAACAAAATGATAAAAAAAAACAACAACTAATTAAAAACTGGCTGATAACTTTCATTCTTTAATAAATATTAAATGATTATACCTGTTTCTTGGAGTGAACCTGGTCGTATGCGATTTAGTAAAGGGTCCTTGAGGTGCGAGGCCATTAACTGAGAAAACTGAGCCTATATCGAAGTAGGCGGGGCTCGTCGGGCCCCATGTTGGCAACATACTAGGAGGGTAAAATGGTTGATGTTGCTGAAACTAAACACATTTAAATTTTTAAAACAAGTTTGTATAGTATGCAACAATGGTATAATTATAACATAATAGATTCCTACAATCAAATATATTTACTAACTAAATTGTTACAGAATAATTTGAATTAAGCCTTAATTGATTAATAAAAATTAGATTAAGATATGTATCATTAAATGATCTAATCATTAATATAATTTTCTTTAAAATGTAAACTGACATCTAGAGATAAACACAACAATAGTAATATTGTTACAAAAAGTATTATTTTTATAATGATTGAAGTATTAATTGTGACTCCCGTAAAGAGAACTAGCTAATAAATTGAAAAAAAAGACCCATCCTTAGCTCACTCAACTGATTTTCTTATAGCGCCTTCAATTTAGCTGATTAAGTTTATATAGTTATAGTTCCAAAAAGCTAAAAATTTATCTAGAAATATAATGGCTCAGATATAAAATAAAATATAACACTGATTGCATTCCAAACCTTAACAATATCCATTAAACAAATGATTTATCCAAAATTTAATACCTTGAATGTTTTAAATAATAAGAAAAAGAAATATAGCGCTTTTGATAAAATTGTTTAAGTTTAACATCTTTTTATTAAGGTTGAGTGTGCCCAGGAAGGGTTTGTAATACTAAATATACTATAGTAATATTAAATAATAATCATAATTGAAAAGTCGATAAATACTCACGCCGCTTACATAGATCTGAACTTGACTTGGAAAGTTCACATTGTGCGGAAGGGATGACCCATTGGAATAGAGGTACCTCTGGGCTGGCTGCGTGAAGGGGGACGGATCGTAAACTCCTCCTGGACCAGTTGTAGCGGGTGTTGGTGGTGTCCTGTAGCCATTCTTTAGGCCCATCCCACCGCCGATTCCTGGCGGCAGCGGCAGCCTGTTCATAGGCTTGGCTTTTATCCTAGCCATTATTGGCTTTCCCTAAATTGAAATTTTATATTAAATATAATTGATTTAAATAAAAACAATTAACAGGGAATGCTTTATCAAAATTTTGTAATATATTAAAAAAAGTGAATAATGTACAATGTATATAACGACATGAACAGTAAGAAATTAATCTTATCAAAATTAACAAAAAGTACTCAATTTACACTTTGTATACACAGTTACATCCATTTACTGTATAATAACTTTAATGTACAACTCGGAAGAACGAGGCATATAAGATGATTCATCGTTATACGCTGCGATCACAGGAGGAGTATAGAAACAGGAGAAGGGAGGCAAAGAAGCTCCACCGCATAAAGAAAAGAACATGGGAGAACAAAATAACATTGAGACCCACAGAACTCAACATGAAAGTAGACTATTCTTTCAGAAGGTGAATGAAGGGAGGTCGGTTTTTAAACCGAGTCACCTCCTGCAAGGATTCAGACGGAAAAGGGAGAGATCCTAGAGAGATGGAGGCAGTACTTTGGAAAAGTCCTTCACCAAGACGATACAGATGAGGAGACCAGTATCATCTCAAGGGCGGAAGACCTCTCAAACGATGCAGAACCACCAGACCACGATGAAGTCTGGGCGGCCGTTATGAAGCTAATGAATAACAAAGCCCCGGGACTAGACAGCATACAAGCGGAGATCATTCGCTATGGTGGCGAGAGACTTATGAAGGAACTTCACCTCATTCTTACAATATGGGAAGAAGAAAGGATGTCACAAGTTTGGAGACAAGGAGTTATTTGCCCGCTTCATAAGAAGGGCGACCAAACGGAATGTGACAACTACAGGGGTAATGTCCTCCTTTCGAGTGCCTGCAAGGTGATGTCAAATATCCTTTTCGATAGACTCACCCCCCATGCTGAAAGAGAGGGAACTGCCAGGCTGGATTCAGAAGGGGTAGGTCAACCACGGACCAGATCTTCTCCCTGAGAATGATTCTGGAAAAAGCCAAGGAATACAGGATGGTTACGCACCACCTCTTTCTGGATTTCAAGTCTGCGTACAATAGCGTAACTCGACCTGAACTCTACCAGGCGCTAGAAGAAATGAGGATATCCAGGAAGCTGATTTGTATCGGATCTGACCTTGCATGACTTCTCTTTAATTTGGTGGTGGGACGAGCAGTACGCAGATCAAGGATCCAAACACAGGCCACCTTATTTAACAGTACGATCCAGTTGCTGGGGTATGCAGATGAATTTGACATAGCTGCCAGATCTGAGCGTGCCCTAAAAGAAGCATTCCTGGCTCTAGAACAAGAAACCAAAATTCTTGGCTTGGTCATCAACGAACTTGAAAGAGTGCAAAGTTTCGTATACCTGAGCTCAGAAATGAACTCTCAAAATGACATCCCAGGATATCAACCAAAGAATTGCCGCAGCAAATTGAAGCTATTTTGGGCTAGCAATACTTCAGAAGCAGACACCTTTCCAACAAGACCAAGATCGGCCTATATAAGACCCTGATTCATCCGGTACTTACGCATGAGTCAGAGACCTGGGCCTTTACTAGAGCCGGTGAGAACCTCCTTTTGGTGTTTGAACGGAAGAATTGAGAAGACTTTTTGGCCCGGTTCGAGAGAGAGACACCTGGATAAGGAAGAAGAATCAGACACTCTCATGACTGTACAAAGATCCTGATATCATCAAGTGGATCAAGATTGGGAGACTTCGATGGGTAGGCCACATTGCAAGGATGGATGACGAGATCCCTAAGAGGACATTGGCTGAAGAGCTTAATGGCAAGCGAAGAGTGGGTAGGCCAAATGTGAGAGGTGGGCTGACTCTGTCACAGCGGACGTACGCAATCTCCTCGGCGTTAGGAACTGGAGAGCTGCAGCAACAGATAGAGCCAACGGGTGGAGACTTTTAGAGGTCTAGACCTAGTAACGGATTGTTGTGCCAAAATGTTTGTATGTATAATAACTTTACATTACCTCATGGAAAAAAATATATATGGAGATAGATTAAAAAATTTAATATTCCTACAAACCAAATATACCTACTAATGATAGGAAAAATTTGGTAAGGTGTGTGCGTCCGCACAACTTTTATTTACCAAATTGATTTTAAGCAAAAATGGATATTTTCAGACAAAGGGAAGTGAAGATGGGACAAAATATTACTTTAAACAATTAATTACCATATGTTCTTTATGTCGCTAATCATTTCCTTTTATATTTATGTATATTTTATTATTTATTTGATTACAATAAATAATCAAGTGTTACCAAAATTGTTAGCCCAACAAGAGTGCCACTGATAAAGAAGGCTGCTATATTTATATTTCATTGTAGTTATTTTTATTTGTTTTAGCATAAGTATATATACAAATTTTAACTTTTATATTGCTATAATCCATACAATTAAATATGAACTAATACCAATGCTAGCATTTATGAAAGCTGCACATTAATATATATTATTGGAGTCCATATTATATATAGTACGCATTTGTTACAGATGGAGGCCTATTAGAACTTTTCAGCTAAGCTTAGTTATCTTTGGTTCTGTGGTTTACACTGAAAAAATGAATTTAATCAAAATCGATAAAAGTGGTATTTCTGGTTAGCTGATTTTGACGAAAAAGTAGTTGTAGCACTCAATGCTTAACTATTTTCATGTAACAAAGCTGTTAGCCCGCAAGGAAGTAAATCTGCTTCTCAAAACATTAAAACAAATTTTATTTTTTATTTTTAAAAACTCTTGCTATGACATTTAACAGATATATCCATGACACCTTAGATACCCCTTCATGATTTTCAACAAGGCTGTTGATTATTTGCCTAAAATAGTTTCTTTATTTCAAATAGTAAAAGATTATGAATGAAAATTTTTATTTCTGTTAGTGCGAATGGTCGTATGTGACAAATTTTTCATTCTTATTTTATTAGTGCTAAAGGTGACATTTTGAAGTCTGCAACTGCTATAAGTAGTCTGCTACTATTGAACATAAAAGAGAGAAATAAAACATGATATTACACTAATAAATCATAAAGAAATAATCTGTTCTTATGTTCTCTTATAAAAAAATTCAATTTTTGCATATGACCTTCTGCACTAATAGTAGCAATATTTAAATCATATACTCTTCATTTTTTTAACTACTTTTTTTAACTCAAGAAACTCTTATCAACATTCAAAAATTCAATTCCATAATAAACTAATAAATAACTTATAATGTTTAAGTATAAAGTAGAAAAAACAATACAAATGTAAAATGTTTTGAGGAACGTAAAAATGATGAAACATCAATACATTAACTCAAAATCATTTTTTGTTATAGCATCATTCGACACCTGATTTACTAAAAATAAAAATAAAACAGGCTCTAATAAGATGCTTAAATTAATAACAACTTTTGCTAACACAATTTTAGAAAAAATAAATAAATTATTTTGTATTTATTATTAATCGTTAGTTACCGCAAGATTGCAACAATAAAATTTACAATACTATACATACTATCTATGAGGCCTTTATAATCAAAATAGAATTGAAATTTAATTTCAAAATAATCACAAATATATGAATAACTGAATACTGTATGAATTACTGTAATTCATTAACTTTGGTATTTGCTTTATAAGTTATTGATTAATTTAAAATTAGCTTCAAGTTTTTAAAATTGTAAATAGTACACAATATTTTTTGTTGTTTTTAAGCTATATTCTTATAGTACAAGGATTGTTTTTATAAATAATAATTTATATTATACAAAATATTCAATAATTAAAAGTAATGGTAATGAAGGATACGACAGTTCAGGTAGCATAGAATAAATAGCTTTTAAAGTTCTTATTGGTAACCAGGATCATTTTATTTATACTTGTACTTGTTTCATAAATTAATAGGTTTTTTAAATGAAAAATATTAATTAGAAGAGATCTATATCAGAATCTGTGTAAAATTTAATTTCAATCAAAATGTTTTTTAAATTAAATAATAAGCCTTATAAATAAAACTTGGAGATTCAATGCAGATATCACAAACAATCGTTACCAAAATAGCTTCCTCCAATGAATCCCAACAGAACCTAAATCGGTAAATAAGACTTCAGTCTTCTCATTTATGATGTAATAATAATTCTTGCTTACCAAAAGTTTGACGTAGATACCACCAATAATTGTTGCTTGATTTATTACACATAATGACTGTAAAAAAACATCTGGTGCGCGCATCACATGACTTTTATTTAACACACCCTCTTCTTAGCAGAAATAAGTATTTTCAGACATGGGTAAATGAAAGTAAAAATTATAGAACCTATATTTATTTACATTTCATTGTGGCTATTTTTATTTGTCTAAATACCCTTATATGTAAAAATTTTAATTTTTATATCACTGTAATCAATACAATTAAATATTAAATAATACCAATGATAGAATTTATGAAAACATATGTGTATATACATAATATTGCCGGAGTCTGTATTATATCAAGCTTATGTCACAAATGGAAGCCTGTTCTAATCTTTTGGTCGACCTCAGGGGCAATTTCCTTTGCTTCCTTACGATATCTCATTTCTCGTTTAGATAATTATCAAATGCTTTCATATTTTACATTCAACTATTTTTTATATAAAAAATTAATGTGAAATGGTCAATTATTTCAAATTTTCATACAACTTTTCGTTTTTGAGCTAGGCTGTTCATCCACACACACAAGAATTTACAGAAAGTGCAAATGGTCTGTCAAAGGCCCAATATTGATTTTGAAAAGAGGGATCCACGGTGGATGCTATTCGAGTCGTGATTGATATTGTCCGTAAAGCAATCGCAGGAATAAGATAGAGAAGGGGAGCAAAGTGTTACGCGCCAATCATCACTCTAGATTTCAAAAATGCTTTTAACACGGCCAGATGGACTATGGATGTGCCTGATTATCTTATAAGGGTGATCACAGACTACTTCAGAGATGATAGAGTACTATTTTATGACTCAGATATTGGATCAAGGAGATATGTCACTGATGGTGACTCAAAGGGATCCATCTTCCAGGGGGACCTCTGGACTGTCATCTATGACAGAATTTTCAGACTACCATTGCCAGAAGGAGCTATAGTTGTGGGCTTCACAGATAATTGTACAGTGATGGTAGTGGTGCACTATGTTGAGGAAGTCACCCTGATTGCTCATCAAGCTGTTGCTTCTATCAGAGGTTGGCTGTTTTCTCTGGGCTAGCCGATCACAAAAGACTGAGGCTGTCCTTTCAAATATTAGAAAGAAAATTAAGATTATCATTGTCATAATAGGTATGACACCAGATTCGTCCACAGTCATAAGTAAAGTACCTTCGGAGTCCTCATTGAAGCACGTCGCAAGTTCAATGCCCAAAAGGTGTATATCAGTGATAAAGCTTTTCGAGTGATGTCCTTACTACAACGCCTTATGCCGAATGTAAGAGGCCCTAGAGAGCTGCAAAAGGCTTCTTGTGACTGTTATACCTTTGATTCGTTTATATGGAGCTCCAATTTGGAAAGAAGCAATGCTTACAGAATCATGTAGGAGACAACAGATGGTCTTGGTATATCCCAAAACTTTATTAAGGATAGCTAGTGCATTCCATACTGTATCCTATGAAGCAGTATATGTAATAGTATGCCTCCTATTGAACTGTTGTTTGAGAAAAGCAGATCCTATAGTAGAAGTTCAAAAGTCTCAAGGGAAGAAGAAACGAAAAATAACGATGAACCGGCAACAGCAATGGGATACTGCTGGTACTGGAAGATTGACCAATAGATTAGTGTCAGACATTAGCTCGTATGGCAGTCAACACGGTAACGTGGACTTCTATGTAACCCAACTGCTGACTGAATAAGGGTGCTTTAAAGCTTATCAATACCGGTTCAAATTGGATAACAACGCTGAATGCCCGACTTGTATAGGAATCAAAGAAACAGCAGAACACGTACTTACATGCAACTGCTTTAACGTCGAAAGAAAAGAATTGGAGAATGTGTGTGGAGTGAATGTCACGACCGAAAATATTGCGACGCTTGTTTTGAAAATGGGTAAACATTGGAAAGCTGTGAAGAAATTCGCCACAATTGTCCTAAAGAAAGGCCTTTAGCCAGAAAATAAATAATGCCTCACGACGAATTAAACATAATACAATGAGACAGTAAATTGCCATTCTCTCCCCCTGAAGTAATGCCAAACGGTGGTTCCATGGAGGGAAATGAACAGTTGAAGAGAGGTTGGTTTTAGTGGATAAGAATACCACAAGCGAATATCTACAGCCGTCTATTTGTGTCTTTTAAAGATTTCCACTTACCAACATAAAAAAAAAAAAAAAAAAAAAAGGCACACAGACCATTTTGTGGGATTTGGTTATTTGGACTAAGGGGATCTCAAAACAAATATTTCTGTTGAAAACTCAGATTAGAAAATTTTCGCAATCCTAATACTTACCCTTACTATGTATTACATATATGGGTGAGTGAAAGAAAAAATTTAATAGTAACATAAATCTTAAGGAAAACACTAACTACATAATTGAGTGCGTAATCACTCACCAATAACTGATATACATTAAAATGAATAAATTAGTTACGATATAGTTGGCAGCATAGAGAATAACTAATGCGGCACTAAGTTGGAATTAACATTTGTTTTTTGCCTAAATGTCCGACATTGTTTACAAAATATCTATTAACATCTACATAAATTTGAACAATACTACGTTTTAATACATGGCACATCTGCATATACTGTGTAAGAAATATCAGAGGTTTTGGGAAAAACAAAATGTGAGTTTGATCAACTTATGGAAAATGAGTTTCACTCTCAAGAAGTCAACTAATCATTGTCAAACAATAATATCGAAGAATTACATTTCACTTTCAATTATTAACATCGTCATTTGGATAAAAATATACTTAAATATGTTAAATAATATTGTAATACCTCTGAAACTGTATACACAATTTGATATCAATTAATATTCTCCAGTATTAGATAAATATAGGATTTATAGAAGAGATGGAAAAAGAAGTCTTCATGCACTTTATCTCAATTGTAAAATATATATAACAAAGATAATCAAAGGAATATTACCTGAAACTCCCTCACTTCCTCTCTTAAAAACCTATATGCTTTTTGAGCGTCCTCGTCATTTTCGAATGTAACATACCATGAGTTGTTATGCGCAAATTCACAAGAAATGAGTTTTGGACAGCCTTTTCCAGAAAACAGGCCCTGTAAAAAAACATTCATAAAAAAGTAGTCAACATCGATACTGAAGTATAAATTGAACTCTTACAAAATATAATGAATAAGGTAAGGATAAAAATTAAAAAAAAAAAAGTTGAAATTTATTCCTTATCATCTGTACATTTATGAGGATGTCTATCTATTAGAAATAAATAAATAATAATAAATCACAATTTTAGGAAGCCTATTAAAATTATTATAAATTTATTTTTTTCCCCTAGAGGTATTGACATATTCAGAATAAAAGAGCACACTAAAATAATGTCGGTTTTTACCACACAAAAATTAGAAATAGGCTAACTTTCAAAAATACAAGATGCCATGGTATTTATTTTAAAGGCTCCTACCACATAGAATGTAATATGTCCTGACAATACAATATTACGTCGGTGGTGATAGTGCTATTACTGTCTAGTACATTATTGCAATCACACAGAGTACAATAATTGGCAACAATATCAACAAAGGGTATTGTATCGCTGGGACATATTCCCTTCTCTATGTAGGAGCCTTAACAAATTGTCTACTGTTGTTGGTTAGGCTCGATATCGAAGGAATAGCAACTCTTAAAGATTATAGTGGTCCAAACATTTGTCCATGTTTTCATTTATGATTATTGTTATATGAAATACATTACGTTTTATTCAGTAGTATCTTTTTTGAAGTGAAAATATTTATGAAGCTACATCCACATGGGACACATAAAATTAAAGTTTGCGAGAAGCTCAAAACTTACAAACGAAAGACTGTTCCTCACAAACTTCGAAAAATTATTTTAAAATAACTTATGCATAACGTAACTTCACTATATCCAAACACAGCTATGTACACCTTACGATATGATGTTAAAATATACTGAACTAATCACTATAAGTGATATATTATCTTCTATGAAAATAATGTACAATATTTGTGCTCTGAAGTTTGTACAAATTGATATTGATTGTATACTGATAATTTACTAACCTTTACTTCTTCTATAGGAGTACTATCTGGAATTTCACGTAGGATCACAATGCACCGTTTATGATTCGGACGCACTTTTTGACCTTCGTCATCAACTTGAACGTTGGGGGATTCTACAAAATTAAGAATTAACTTAACGTTAAGACCAAAGAGAAAACTTTTAATTAATGACTCAAATGATACATTTTTATTACAATAGTATATATATATATATATATATATATATATATATATATATATATTGTATTTAACTTACCACGCAAGACTTCAGTAATTAATTTGATATCAGTAGTCAACTTTTTTACTTGATTAAAATTGGCTACAGTCCAAATAGGTACATATTGGTCGTTATCCATCTGAGATAACAAATATGTGTCATTAGCTAAGTTTTCCCTAAAAGAAAAAAAAAATATTAAAGTATAATATAAATTAATTTATATACATATACATATAGATACTAATTACAATTATATGGTTAAAGAAGGCATAATATATGGATTACAGTAAAAATAAAAATTTACCTTGAAAAATAATATTCAAGCTGGGACGAGAGCATTTGCTTCAGCTGGTCTAGAGGAATAGGAGGCAGGGGGTCGGGAGGCTGCTCCACAGCCGGGCCCGCCCCAGCTTCGCTCAGCGGCTCCAATCCTTGGCTCCCCTCTTCTGAAGCCCCATTCAATTGACTGAAATAAATCTTACTAATGAATCAAAAATAATTTATATTAAGGGATATCTCCCCGGAGGTTGGCAAAATTGCAGATTAAGAGTGAAACATTAAACTGGCTCAATTTAGAATAATAAAATTCATAATGATAAAGCATTAATGCCCTTGTACATAAATAATAGAACACAATTTCTCTAAATTTATATAGATATTTGAAACAAGAAAACATATTTATTTGTAAAACATACATATACATATATAAAAATTAATACAGGTGTTAAAGAAACACTATTAGACAGAGATAAAATTTCTTGAATAAAAAGGAAACAAATTGAGAAACACTTTAAAGTTACCAAATATTAGAAATGTAGTTCAATGCACACTTACTAAAATTAACAGATAATTGAGAACTAATTTAAATCCCAATTTCATTTATAATGAATTTTTGCACCATGGCAATATTGCTTTTTTAAGTAATGGAAGAACAAGATACAAACGCAACAATAGCCTGCTCCTCTGAAGTACATACATAATGTGGGAAAAACTACACCATAAAAACCTGTTAGCCATTAGCCAAAAAGTGGTCCAAAGCATAATTGTAAAAATTATTAATATTAAAAAAGAAGTATTGTCGTGAGAGTGGTGATATGACTATATCAAATGCTATCAGCTCATACCGTTGCTTTTTAGCTTAGAATAGTGTTTGAAACTTCAGAACTTCTTTCTAGGAGACATTTTTACATTTCTCCCTTTGGTCTTTTGAGTAAAAATTCTTGGTTCAAAATGAGTTTTTTTTAGATTTTATGAATAAATAAAATACGCTCAGCATCAAAATATAGAATCAGCACAAAAGATAAATAATTTTTCATTTATTTTTTAATTATTAAATATATATAATCTCATTGTCTTTTAAATCAAAATAATTTAAGTTATTTATTAAATCGAGTAAAATAAAAATAAAATCTTTGTCCAATTGTAAGAACTAAATTCCAATAGATTTTGTGATGGTAAGGTTCTTTTCTTGCCAGCAAATGAAAATATTACCTAATTTCAAGTTATAGTTAAACTTATATATCTTGAACATGACCATTTCTTAAAAAAAAATAAGGTATGACTTCAAGGACTAGAGATTTGATAAGGAAAAACCTTTAACAAAGATTTGTAAATTAGAAAGTAAAATGTAACAAACTCAACGCCCCATAAAACCAACTCATTTACTTCAGTTTCTACATGTTTTCTTCAAAACACATAAAGGATGGGTATGTGATCTTTTTTCCTTATTTTTCAACTAAATATTCCACAAAACTTGTAGAGGAGCCCTCAATTGGATGGATGAGGTATGTGATATGAAACCTATTCCATGATTGAAATATAGAATATTAAAGTTGAGAACTACTTCAGAAAAAGTAACCAACTCAAATTGTATTCATTGCTAGATAATAAAACCTATATTCAATACAGAAATAATATTTAAATAAATCAATCTATCAGTGGCTCTTGACTGGCATCCTCAATTTGTTTAATTAATACAATTCATAAATGTAATATCCTAAACAATTTAACAGATAATATAATTTTATCAAGAACCATACCAAGACTCTTCATGCATGGACTATAATTGTATTAAGATTTATAAATAATTTTTTAGTTTAAATGACGGTTGTTAAAGTATATTAGTCAATAAAAAACAAGAACTATCTGTATTAATGAAACAAAGTCAAACAAGCTTAAAATAAATAAATGGAAATTCTATTGAACAGTTAATAATTAAACAACTTTATTCATATAAGAATTCAGATAATAGCTCAAAACACAACATAACTAAACTTGGCAATCATTATTTTTATTTCATTCAAATAATTTAACTCGCACTTGTTCCTGTTATAAATTTAAAGAAATTAATAAGAGGAAAAAATAAAATTTTACCTTTCACTTTTTTATGTTAAAAATAAGATTATCAGATAAAATGTTTCATTAAAGATTTCTATCTAGCGAAGTTAAACCTGATTCAATATTAGTTTATATATTTGAAATTTGTTTATATTATAAGAAAATAAATAAGATATATTAGTTTATATATAAGAAATTAAATATAACTTAAAAGTTAGGTTTCAGATAGTCATGGAGGATAAAGAAACAGTTAAGGCAGTGAAAATGCCAACCAGCAGGCAAAAGATTCAAGGCCAAATAGCAAACAAAAGTTGGTTATTGCTATCAGAATTAATTAGATCATTTCTACAAAACCATACTTGATAATACATTTCTAATTTTTAATTATAATTTTATAATTATGTAAAACTTTTAGTTTAATCTATTGGATTTATGTCAGCACAACTTTAATGAGATATTATAATTCCGTCTCTAATTACATTAATACAATTACAGAAAAATAGTGAGTTTAAATCATACAATTTGTATCAATTTAAATAATATAGTTACTCAATTGATTTAAATAAAATGAAATTAATAATTGTGGGTTTATGGTTCACTGTAGTGAATAATTAAGAGAAGGATGCTTGGGGTGATCAGTTAAAATAAATAAATGTAAAAATATATATATTTATTTATTTTCACCATTTTATTTTGACTGATCACCCCAACCATCGTTCTCCTCAATTAAATTAACTTCAGTATGCATAATAAGTGATACTAAAACTACCTCTTGACAAAATTAATTATGGAAAGTGGACACGATTTAAAAATTTAAAGAAACTACTAATCATTACATTAGATATTCTGATGATCTAACTAAAGTAACAACAGTTAAGTAATAAATAAATAAAACTGAAATTTTAAATAGAAATCACTAAGCATGGATGTAAACTCACCTAAACTCGGATGTGGGCGTTGGGGGGTGGGGTTCAGGGGAAGCAGTAAAAACCGCCCCTGAAGGGACTTTCCCAACGTCCCCATTCATGTACACGCTCCCTAAAACAATGGAAGAAAAAATTTTGTATTATTTTTAAGAAATACACATCTTCAGTTAAGTATAACACTGAATATATTCATTAAAATAATAAAGAACAGTTCAAATAATAAAAAAAAACTGCAAAAGTCCTAAAATTGTAAACAGAGAATTCTGTAGAATATGAAATATTTAACTGGAGATTAAGATTGATTTATAGTTCTTAAAAATAAACTAATTGTTAAATTATTAACACAATCTTGTGCAAGTTAACATTTAGTGCCAGATAAAATTAAAATATATACTAATCCAACCTCCACCTTTAAATCCTATTGCTGTCATATTCTGACACTTCCAAGTTTAATAACTTCAATATAAAACTGAGACAGGTGAAACAGAAACAAAATTATATAGAACATTATAGAGTTGCAAGTTTATAACCTCCTCAATTCCAATACTATCATAATCATACCTAATAAAGCTGCTGCATGACTTGTAACAATCTACTAACAGGATATCTTAGTTAATAACTATTGAGAAACTCTATATTAGAATATCTCGTCACACAAAATAGAACAAACTGGATATGAAATGCATGAGACGTGGAGTTAATTTTTTATAACTATTATATATAAGATACTTTACTTCAACAACAAAAAGGTAGAATACCAAAAGTTTGTCTTAAATGGCATTCTTCCTGACAATCTAGAAAATATGTACATGTAAGTTGTTTAAAATTAAGTACAAAGTTATTCCTACTTCCGACTTGTTGGATAAAAGTCAATTGAATTATTTCAAGAAAAATTGTAAAAGGATAAAATGACTAAATATGGTATTTAATAAAAATTTAGATAACAAAAGGTGAGAATATTCTCTGGGAAAGTAGGCTATATTAAATATGGCTGCCCCTAAGAAGGTTAGGATTTTCTAAATATAGTAGAAGTAAAATTTTAAAATGTTTAAGATCATATAAGGATGATATAAAGTACCAAAAAAGTACAAACATCAAAAATGTAAGATGAGTAACTTTTGAGCTCAGCACATAAACACCAAGGTGACTGGTCACATATATTCAAAATAACATATTTATTGGTAATTCATCACTGTAAATTAGAAAAATATAATAGTTTTAAAGTTAATTGAATAATAAGATTTAAAAAAAAGAAGTTAATTAGAAACACTAATAAGGTTAGAAACTTCTCTCTATAAATATTGACTGTTTATCACAAAAAAATGGAACACAATAATATGACAAAATAAAGAAAACGAAATAATGAAGTTTTCACCTTAGGATAACCAAATTATTTTATTAACACAAATGTGGCTTAGGCAGGCTTTATAAGAGTAATGTGATCTGACATAAATTCTTATATAATTGATTCCATGTAATTTTCTAAAATACAATAGTGACGTAATAGTTACCTAGGACAACTGATACACGAAATATGCTAGTCAAAACAGCTATATCAAAAGGAAAATATCTGTTTTCGAAGAAATTAGTCAGGAAACCATGTGCACGAGGCTTCCTTTACCAAAGTTGTCGAGCAAGAACACAGCAGACTAGCCATACCGAAATAGGACACATTCACTACAAAACACAATATCGCCGCACAAATATTTGATTACTTCATCTTGCCACAGCGGTCAGAAGAAGCGTGTAATTGCCAATTTAATATGATGTGAAGCCTTACCAGTAGGATCTATTTCACTAACTTTATGAAATATCTCGGGGAAACCTTGGAAAATGGACGACACCAAAGGCACATGCCAGAGAAACATTGCATCATGGGAACTCAAGTCGATACTCTCCGCGACATCTATCGGAATTCAGAGTAAAAATATAACATATGTTCCAGTTGAGGTCCATCATTAACCTTTTTAATCCTTAAAGTACGGTTAATGCGGATCTTATATAACCACTTCAATATTAAATACTCTACATGAAATATCACAACATTTTATAAATAACAGAAATAATCTCTATCATCATAATTTCTTTTTAAAACATTACGATTAGCTAAACTGATCTGCTCTATTGGTAATAAACAAAAATTGAAATTTAACCTATTACAATAAAATTAAAAAAAAAAAAAATACACTTGTTATTATAACTTTGACAACTAGATTGATATGAATAGAATTAATTTTACATTATGAATAAAAAACAATAAATTTGTTAACATGATTACTTACTTCAATTCACTAATTTTTCATGAACAAATTTCAATTAAATATAAAGAAATGCTTTTAAATGTAAAATATTATATGTAATATTAAAATATTCTCTATGATGATTACAGAAACTAATTCATGACTAAATCAACTACAAATTTGTGAACTTCATATCTCACGCAAGTAATACTTTTCATTTCCGTTTATATAAGAATACAATGTTTTTTGTTATCTCTACTTCTAAAAAACTCCGACCATTGCTAAAGATTTTATCATTATATAAAGTAACGAACATTGTCTTCTGATCTTCAATCTTAATCACTTCAATAAGAATTGATTTTAGTTCGGCTTTAAATCTAACTAGTGAACAACTGACATATGTTGTCATGGAAACATTTGACGCTTTTTGTACCTAAGAGCCACAATCTCTACTTTACAGTTAAAATACTTTTAATGTTAGACAATATATTACGTTGGAGCGGGGGGAAGTCAGACTCAACCATTTCATAACTGTCGGGTTCCAAGTTTTTGGATTTACTCTCGAAGACGTCAGCGTGAGGATTCAACTTCGGAGTCACTGAAGGCGTTACCTGCAACAAAGCATTATTTTTAAATAATTATAATTTACTTTTATCCACAGCATTTTAACATGTAAAGGTGTTTTTAGACACTATGGGACAAACAAATATATTTCACTATTTTGGTATTTTTGTTTCTAGTTTTTGATATTTTCCATCTGCTATCGGTATCAAGAGAAATAAAATAAATAGTTTGGTTTAGCAATAATATCGCTGTTAATTGCGTTAGATTATTGTGTTTCCCATAGTGAAATGTCTAAACGCACCTTCAAATTAAGCTAAACCAATCAAATTATTTGCAGCATGAGAATTACAATATGAATTCATTAATACCAACATTATGATCAGTGAAAATTCAATAAACTTAATAGCTATTATAAATTAAAAATAATATATTCCAACGTAACTGACTTTGGATCTGATTTTTTTTTTTATCTGACAATGGTTAAGAAAAATGTGAAAGTGAAATAGTTAACAGGTCTAAGCTTGCGGAGACCAAGAATGAACGACAGGCCGACTTAAACAAAGTATAATAATAAAACATGCATTAATTTAACATATATTAAACACACAAACACACAAACACACACACACACACATATATATATATATATATATATATATATATATATATATATATATATATATATGTGTGTGTGAATCATGATGTTGCTCTTATATATATATAAGAGCAAATTAAATGAAGATCATTATTTTGGTGGTAAATAATTCAAATTATTTTTTTTGTAATTATATATTCTATTTGTATTTAGAATAATGTAACAAGTATGTGAGAACAATTATGTAATTCTGTCAAAAGCATCACAAGTCATAGGATAGAGGTGTTGTACAATTATTATTTACTTTATCATTCCAATATTTATTTTAGTATCTTGCATTAGCGGATCCAGGATTTAATTTTGGGGGTGAGGGAGGATTCAGCCCGAAAACTTTTTTTTCATGTATATAACGATAATTAATTTGAAAAAAAAAAGATGAACTAATTACCAATATGACATGGTGCTTTAAGTGATTCTTGTAATCCTATTAAATGTAATTACACGAACAATAATACTTTAAGATATAGTTTTTAATATTTTTTTGTATAAAACATGATTATTTATATTTTACCATTTTTGGAGAGGGAGGAGGAGGCTTCAGTTCGAAAGCCCCCCCTCACTCGTAAATCCGCCTGTGGTATCTTGGAAAACTTAGGTGTAATGAATTTCTTTTTTTCAAGTTCTCACTATTTGCACCAAGTCTCATTAAATGAGTTTTATCTTACATAGAGGAAATAAATTAAAAAATAAAATAAAAATACCATAGATGATAAATAGTCATTACATCGTAGCTAGTAAGTATGACGTAGTCATTTTAAGATTTTTAATGTTGCAGACGTAAAGTGGTGAATTAGTCCTAAAAAGCTGGCCAAATTTAGATTATTTCAACATGGACTAATTCGAAAAATTATCCATAAATAGTTGAACCTTTGAGCTATAATGACATAAAACTATAATTTGTATAATGAAGAGAAGAATAGTTGGGGTGGTCAGTCAAAAAGGAAGGCAAAAATAAATGATAATATTTATTTTTTACATATGCCGACGTTTCGATCTGAAGTTCAGGCCTTCATCAGGGCTAAGAAAATAACCATTTTATTTTTCTATTTTTTTTATTTTTCTTAATTTTTTTACCATCACTACTTATGTTTCTCATACCTTGTTATCTGGTTATTTTCTTAGCCCTGATGAAGGCCTGAACTTCAGGTCGAAACGTCGGCATATGTAAAAAATAAATATTATCATTTATTTTTGCCTTCCTTTTTGACTGACCACCCCAACTATTCTTCTCTTCATTATCCACGACAGTCAACCAATTACCAATTATAATTTGTATAACTGCAGCTGATTCACGATATCAAAATTCGAAAGTTGATGATCTCTGTATCACTTTCAGATATTTTTGAGGAACTTTTTTATTGTTCTATAGAACTGTATGCAATTGTATTTTTTCTGATATTTTCTATTTTGAAATCTTTAGAATAAAGTAAATGCTTCATTTTTATGCATTTTAAACATTATTAAGACTAATGCCTGAATACATACTAGCCTTTGAAAGCAAGTTATTTGTTTTTCAAAATTTCAACAATGATAAAGTTATATTCCCAAAAGCTTCCAACATAAAATATTTATGTCATCTAGAAGAGTAGGATTTCTGTTTAAACCACACAAAGAATCATTTGCTTATGCGGTGATTATTTATTGTTTTATCCAATATGAATATTTTGCCATTTGCTACTTTTAATCGAAAAAAATGATAAGTTTTCTAAAATTTTAAATTGTCTAGAGTGGTCTGGAGTTAAATTAATGTCATAGAGATAACCTCCCACCAATATCCAACAACAAAAAGGCCTAAATATAAACCGGAAACTTTAATCCATTATTTACAGTGTAGTTTAAAGTAAACTGGTCAGCTGCTCAAAGAAATGATAACAGCTTAAGAAAAACATGTGATAAAAAGCTGGACAATACACTGTTCAGTTACCCAAAGACATTACAGGCAAATCTATATCCAGAAGATGGTTTGCCAACTAAATCTTTTGAATGCTCTAGTGACCGAAGCAAAATAAAGGACATGGAATTACTGCGAAAATCAGCTGCAACTGAAGAACGTATATTTGCCACTTACATGAAACGATTTCTTTGCGTTTTTACTTTCACTTACCTATATATGAAATATATAGTAAAGGAAAGTATTGCGATCGTGACAATTTTTGAATCTCAGTTTTCAACGGAAATACACGTTTTGAGATCCCCTGAGCTCAAATAACCAAGTCCCGCAAAATGGTGTGTGTATGTTAACAGTCTAGCTAAAAAAAAAAGTCGTACGAAAGTGAAATTGCACATTTAATGTTTTTATATGCTAGGAATGTTACAGTAACTTTTGCATCAAAATCGACTGACCGGAAGTGGCACTTTATATTATGGGCTAAACACATTTTTACAATTTTCTCGGAAACGGCTTTAACAATTTTGATTAAATTCGTTAGATTAGTGTAAAATTAGACAGATTTAAATAAAATGTAGTTTTTTTTTCTGATTATGTTCTCTAATAGGGCTTAAATGGCTAATTTTCAATATTAGCTTCTTCTAAAGTACCTTTAATTTTTTTTATTTGAAACAATTGACTACTTCACATTACTCTCTGATATAAAAGATAGTTAATTATAAAATATGAAAGAATTTGTTAATTAACTACA